AGGGAGCCAACAGGGCCATAGCATGCCGATCCTGCGTATATTTGACCAGTCTAGTCTGACAATTCCTTCCATGTGTGGCAGCTCAGACATAAACAGCGAAGGCTGCAAGATGCACAAAGAGCAAAGGAAAGCGGTTGCCGTTGCCAAATGCTGCTTCCCCACAACAGCTCTCGCTCCCCTGTTTTGCTCTTTGTTCCCCTCCCCGAACACTGCTCCTACCCAATCACCCTGCCCCGCTCCTTCAGTTCTCTCCCACTGCTCCACAGCCTTGGACTGCTCAGTCCCCTGGGGCACTCTCCCAATCCTCCTCCTTTCCCGCCCAGACCAGAAGCGGGCTGTTGCCTACAGCACACCCCTCTCCGATAGTCTATGCAATGGTGCTGCTTCAGAGGGACTGCTGCCTTCCTCTGCCACTCTCACCGCTTCCTTCCTCTTCCTCCCCGCCCTTCGGCTTCTATTGGTGAGACACGTTCTATGGGAGACAGGGGAGAGCTCCCCTTGGCCAGTCCTGGAGCCCTGCCTTTCCTGTCCTTGGCTGCCAGGATCTGCATCAGGCAATGGCAAGAGTTGGTCAACAAGAAGGCGATACCCATCAACCAGGGCATCACTGATTGGCCAATGAAGGGATTGCACAATGGGAGAAGAGGATGGCTAACAGGATGCTGTCATCGGTCAATGGAAAGAGGTTGGCTGAGGGGGTGGGGTCACCAGTCACCAGGCAATGGCCATTGACCAATCAAGACACCACCCAAGGGGGGCATGGCAACCACCAGGCTCAAGCCACCATGGCCAATGGGACATGGACACTGGCCAACAGGAAGGCAGACACTGGCCAACAGGAAGGCAGACACTTCGTGATAGCCACCAACCCATGACGGTCAACCCAACCAAAACCAATGACCATCAAGGCACAAGATGGCTGCCAGTCCATCACATCTTCTTGACATGTTCCTCCAAGGCTTCCAATTCTTCCATCACCTCCTTGGACAGACCTTCTTCAAAGTTCTCCTCGTAGCAACGCCGTAACTCTTGGATTTCCCTCTCCCAAAACAGGCAAGAAACGTGCAAAAGATCAGTGTAGGAAACACTGGCAACATCACTGAGATCTAACGCATCTTCTCGAGGAACAAATCCCACCGGGGTTGATTTCATGTTGTCATCTCCTCCCACCCGACTACAAATCCAAGCGAGGACATGAGCGTTATGATTGAAACCTGGCCAAACAAATCGACCACCATCATCTTTGAGGAATCAGCTAATGTGGAAGGTACGCGGTAAACAGGTGCCTTCTCGTTCGCAGACGGCCAACCAAGGGGTGAGGTATTGCCTGATGTTGTAACCAAAGAAAGGGCGCATGGAGAAGGGGCTGTGCACTAGGCAGCAGCCTGGGAAAATGGCGGGGTCAAAGTGCAGTGAGGTCAGACATGGGGATGGGGATAGCAGAGTGGACGAAGTTGTGGGGTTGGTGAGGTGGTGGGATGTGGTTATGGGGCTGGTGGGACACCACAGTTGAGTGGATGAGGTTACGGGGTGGTGGGATGTGGTTATGGGGCTGGTGGGATGTGGTGACACCGGGATGAACAGAGACGTGGCCACCTGTAACCCAGTTAACGAGCCAGATGAGGTCACCAAAGACAGGGTGAGTGGGGACACCGGGAGGGCGAGGTCACTGGGAGCGCAGGGCTATGGGGTGGGGCTGACCGGTGTGCTTGGCAGCAGCAGTGGCCTCACTCCTCATGGCGCTTCCAACGAAGACCGCATGGTGCCAGTTGAAGGCCTCATAGACCAACAGCACTCCTACCAAAAAGAATCGCCACCATCATGGACCATCTCAGCCAATAACACAGCAGGAAGGTCCAGGTGAAGGGGCGTGGCCTTACCTTCGGGTCTCTACCCTCCAAAAATGATGGCGTTGATGAGGACGCCCTCGGGGTCTTCCCAAGCAGGGTCTATGATTGGACAATGTCCAGCCGGGGCGCAGAAATGAGGGTTGAGATGGGCGCACGGTTGAGGGTCACCTAAAGATGTTGACCAAAGTCAATGGTTTGGAAGGGGGTCAACCATCTGGCAATGCTGCCGCGGTGAGGTTCTCCAAGAGGTCTTACTCAGTGTCCAAGGTTGACCTAACCAAGAGGTCAGGGTGGTACCGGGGCTCAAAGGTTCCATGATGCCCTCCCAGTAGACGCCACTGTCGCTGGTTTGGCCAACACTGGTGAAGAGGGTGTTGCGACGGATGGCGAGCATGGCGCTGGGGTTGGTACACATGGAGGTCCCTGGTCCTATGCCAAAAAAACCTGTCTCAGGGTTGGTAGCGTGGAGGCGGCCTGGAGGAGAGGGCAGAGATAACACCGGGGGGTCAAGCGGACGCCGGGGAGCAGGGGAACCCAACGGTCTTGGTGCCACCACGGTCAAGAGAACCCAAGGGTCTTGGATTCACCACAGTCAAGAGAACCCAAGGGTCTTGGGGCTCCCACTCCAAATATAAAGGAACCCCCAAAAGAAACATGCCCCACACCCTTTCTGGCATCTGGGCATCATCTTTGGCATCAAACTTCATCCAGGCGATGCAATGGATGTGCCAACCAGGCAGGGCTGGGGTCATCATGGCCAGGTTGGTTTTGTCGCAGGCACAGGGGAAAGCGGCTGCCAGGTACTGCTTCCTGCCCACCGGGTCTGTCACCCTTAGGATCTTGGAGGGACACAACTAATTTGGGGGGATGGGTCAGGGACCCAGGTGGTCAGGGAGGGGCACCCCAACCTCCCCCCAAACCCTCAAGATCCCCCAAAACCATTCAAGAGCACCTAAACCCCCTCCAAGACCCTTTCAGACCCCCAAAACCTTCAAATCCCCACAAAACTGCCCCAAGACCCCCCAAAACCCCCTAAAATT